GGAAAGAAGTGGTAGATGTATTCTGTTCAGATAATTCCCCTGGGCCAACTTGGGGATTCTTAACTAGCTCAAGTACAAAACTTTTGTGTAATGGGACTGGGCTGGGAATCACTAAGTAAATCCTTTGGACTTGGGCTCACAAACAGTTCTTGCCTGACTTGTATAGTCTGTGGGAGGGTCAGCTCCCAGAAGGATAAAGCAGAATGCTAGTGATTGTAATGAATGAGTCAGGAGTCCCTGAGAGATGATATTGTCCATTCATCAGCTTGGGGGCAGGGTCACACCTCTACCCTGCCTCGGACATAGCATCAAAACTCATTTATTTCACAAAAGTATATCTTGACTCTCTAGCTGGACTATAAACTCCTGGAAGGGAGGAACCATACCTAACATCTCTTCAACTTAAGGGGGGAAAATCTCAGCTGATCAAGTAGTTTAGCATTAGAAACACAGAACAACTTATTGACAATTTTTTTTAATGTAACATCATTTGTTTGGGGGTAGAGACAGAGGTTATTGGATTTTAGAGACCATAGAGATCATTTAGTCCAGCCGAATCATTTCAAAAATGAGAAACTGAAAATCAGACAGATTGAGGCGTTTTACTGATATCATATATGTAGTACATAGGCGAGTAAAGATTTGAACCAAAGACCCCTTATTCCAAATCCAATGTTCTTTCTAATACACTGCATTCCTGTTAATGCATGTCCTGTTAATATTGCTGCGGGACCAGACCTCTGTCCAGGGAACTCCTTGTTGAGGAAATTCCCTCTAGCAGTGTTTCTTGGCATTTGCTTTTTCAATTACAGTATTAGAGAGTTGTGGGACCTCTGAGGGATTAAGGTACCTGCCTAGGATCACACAACCAGGATTTGCCAGTGGCAGGACTTGAACCCAGGTCTTCTTGCCTCTGAACCTAGCTTTCTATCTACCGGGTCATGCTGCCTCTCTAATAATATTACTTTCTGTTAAAATATTAATAATATTTTTATTAGTAGTAATTAGTGCCTACCCTCTGAGATTATTTCCAATTTATCCTGTATATATAGCTAACAGAATTTTACTGAGTCAGTCTTTAGCCTGAGAATGATAAAACAGTAGGCCAGGGACAAAGTGCCAGTAATCAGGTAGCCTTTAATTAATTTATTTCATTATGAAGAACAGATTTGCAAGTTGGAAACTCCCCTGATCAGAATTCCACTTTGCTGAAGTGAAGACAGTGATTATATACATAAATCACAAATGGGAAGGGAGGGGGAAGGTGGATTATAGACAATTGTTCCCAGGGCCAGAGTGCTTTCCCATGACCAACCCACAAATACCACAATGCTAAGGTAGAGGTGTCTTGAAGTTCTGTGGAAATAGCATTGTTCAAGTCTTTGGGGGGTCATTACTTAGTGGCTCACAGGACCAGAGTTCTGTGATGGAACAGTTTCTACAGTCTCTGATTCACTTCACTTCAGGTACATAGGCAGTGATTGTGAGCCTTGTCAAAGTCTGATTGATCATTGCAAGCTGCATCGTAAGTCTGACAGAATTGCCACAAGAGAGGCAATTCTGAAAAATCTAACATATTAGTATATTCATTATACATATATAGATTATAAAAAGCATAATTCCACAATATCTTGCTTATACATGGTTGTTTACATGTCATCTACCCCATTAGACAGTAAGCCCCTTAAAGGCAGGACTATTTTCCTTTCTTTGTATCCCAAATGATAAACACAGTGCATTCACATTTGTTGTTGTTCAGTTGTTTCAGTCATGTTCAACTCTTTGTAAACCCATTTGGGGTTTTCTTGGCAAAGATACTGGAGTGGTTTTCCATTTCCTTCTCCAGCTCATTTTACAGATAAGGAAACTGAGGCAAACAAGGTTGAGTGACTTGCCCAGGATCATACAGCTAGTAAGTGTATAAGTCTAGATTTGAACTCAAGAAGATGAGTCTTTCTGACTCCAGGCCTGGCATTGTATCCAGTATACCATCTAGTTTCCCCATTCACATAGTAGGAGCTTAATATTTATTAAGCTTGTTGACTTGATTTGTTAATTAATTACTTGTAATTATTAATAATAACAATGATGAAAACTCTCATTTGCATAAAGCTTTATGATTTATAAAGCACTTTTGTATCAACAACCATGTGAGGTAAATAGTTTAAGTATTATTTTCTATATTTCATAAATACAGAAATGCATATGGGTGCCATGTCTTGCTGGAGGTTACTCAGCTAATGAAAAAGTTGAGATTCAAAAACAGGTTTCATGATTTCAAATCCAGTGCTTTGCCTCAAAAATGAGTGTGGTAGGGAAGTGGCAGAGGGTGTAGTGGGTGAGAGGTTGAGTGCTGGGGAGAGAAGTGGAGCTAAAGAAACTCTCCTTGGTAAATATTCTAGGGTCTAAATCAGATATAGATCAGTAACTCTAGACCAGTAGATTCCCATTGTCTTTACCTGATAACATTCAAGTAGACCTACTATAGAGGGTAGATGAAGGTGAGGAATGCTCTGAGGCATGAAAGCCAACAGGGATAGAATTATTGAAAGTGATTACAGAATCACATGATTTCAGAGTTGGAAGAAACCTTAAAAATCAATTAATACAACCCTCTCAATTTATACATGAGGAGACTGATTTCTAAAGACATGAAGTAGTTTACCAGGAGAATCCAGGTCTTCTGACTCCCAGGACAAGATATATAATAAAAACATATGAACTAAAGTCTGATTTCTAGAAGGTCTTCAGCGCCTTCCTGAGTTGGTTTGTCAGCTGAGGTAGTGACTTTTCCATGGATTTAGCTAGTGTAAATAATCCAAGTGACAAAGATTTTTTTTCTTTTTTTTTGTAGGAGAGCAGGTAATGGTTACAAACTGAAGGTTAAGATAATTGTTGCCATTGTTTTCTGGATTAGACTATTTTGATTCAATTGACTGGTCGATTAAATCAATGACCAATCTGAAACCACAACTGATTTGCCCGAAATTTTACTGAATCAACCATTTTGGATTGTCCTAAGGATATGTTGCTTTTGTGTGATGTCACCTCAGCCTTTTTAGTATTCTAGTACTTTCAAAAGCTGCATAGTCTCTGGGGTTTCATATAAATGACATTTAAAAATCCCTGAGAGGATTAGTTGGGAAGATGCTCAGTTCTTGGCTTTCTATTTCCTTCAGTGAAATTCATCTCCTGATTTTTAAAAGAAGCTCTAAATTTTTCCTAACTGGAGCAAGAGGCTGACTGAATTTCAGGGCAAGCAATGCACTTGGGATGGGAAGACCCAACAGTTTCTTGTTTATGAATGAAGCTTTATATTAAAACGTGGCAATCATGGGGAAGGGCACACCCAGTACCAAAGTGATTTGAGCCCCCAGTTCCCCCAATGACTGCCTTTCAAGCATTGCTATTCCATACAAAAACAAACTGGGACTAGATTAAGTGCTGGGCACTCACATTACAAATGATGCTCGTAATCTGGATTTCTCATCATGGTGCTTCTGCCAAGTCGAGACTCCTGCCAAGGATGATTTAACTCTTTGGAGTGTCAAACTGACCTTGTGCCTTAGGGATGGGGATGGGAAGCAGCTTAATTGAATGAGTATTGTTTTCTTGAAAATGAAAATATTTGGAAATCTTTCAAGCACTCTCTTGATGTGTTTTCCCCTCATTCCCAATAATTAAAATCTGTAGCATACACAAACACAAAAAAGCAATTGGAATTATGTGTGCTGGAGGCTTGAAGAACTTCCAGACGTTAAATCGGGCAAACACTTTTAAGGAACGTTTTACAGGTGGGTGGGAGGAGATGGAAAGACATGGATTAGAAGGATTTAGTCAGCAAAATGAAAAAGGATTGTCCAGTCTTGTTAACTCTAGGCTTCTACCTGAATATATTCTTTACTACCTCAAGAACAAGTCGCCTACAGTGACAGGGCTGGGGAACGCAGAATGAAATATTGTCTCGGCCCTGGATCTGCAAATTGGAGAGCACTTAAAAATAAAACCCTAAGTCCTCCTAAATATGAGTAAGCACAAATAATGAGCTCTAAGTGCCTTCGTGTCACTGTGCTGTTAGGCTGGTAAATATAATTGTCGTACGGATAATGGCACCAGATCTCTGCAGTCCTCATTAAGGTAATTAGAAGGGGTGCCTAATCACTGCTGTGATTAAGATTTTCTCCCTTTATATGTTGGGTAGAATTGAATGCTCTGATTGTGGCTAAAAGGTTTGGTAAAATACTATGGAAGCAGTTGGATATTTATAGTTTCTCATTATTGCTTTAAAAGGAGGGAAGGCGCCCAATGTGCCTGAGCTCCACCATAGGCTTCCTCTCAGTCAAAGCACTGATTGTTCTGTACAAAGGAACAGAGTCACACAAGGAGGCAAATGTCCAGGCAAAAGATTACTAAGAATCCCTCCTTTGCCCAAATTGGTGATTGCATGAGGTGGTGAGGAGGCTTCCCAGTCTCTCCTTCCTAGACATAGTATTTACCCTCTTTGGCAGTAACAGTGTTCCTGATGTTGGGGTGCCCGAAGGGATGCTTGTATGGTAGGATGAGTCTCTATTGTTCTTGTCCTCTCCAGCATGAGCCCAGAATGGGTAAGGCCATTTGGAAGTGGCCTTTCCTTCATTTTGCACTTCTCTGAAACACTAATCATGTATTATTTTGTACTGTAGTTATTTATGTATGAGTCATAGATCTCTACAAGTTGGTTAGCTCAGTAAGGACAGACACTCTGTGTTAGAGGCAGCTAGGTGACTCAATGGACAGAGTGCTGAACCTGGAGTCAGGAAGATCTGAGTTCAAATCTATCCTCAGATCAGAGACCTGTGAGATCATCTGTCTTTTGACTGAGCCCAAGTTTTACAGAACAAATCCTTTTGTTAAGGGGATTTGTTCTGTGAAGCTTGGGTTCAGTCAAAGGGCCACACTTGAGGACCTAGAGGGCCACATGTGGCCTTCAGGCCACAGGTTTGCCACCCCCAAATCCATTCCCTTCCTATGGAAGAATTTTCTCTAAAATATATCAACATCCAACCTTTGTTCAAAGACCTTCAATGAGGGTGAAGCCAACTGGATAGATAAAGCATTTATAAAGTACTTTATTATGTGCCAATCACTGTGCTAAACACTGGAGATACAAATACATCTTTATTTCAAATGTTTCTTCTTGAAATAGTTGTGCCAGGTAAGAACTCACAAATCAGGGGAGGGGCTACCAGGGCCATCTTCAGGATGATAATCCTATTTATGTTGGAATGGAAAAGTCCTGAGAATCAGAAGCAGGGAGAAAAGAGAAATAAACAGGGATGACCTAAGCTTTTCCAGAAATAATAGCGCAGGGTAAGAATTTACCAGGAGGAAAAGGGACCTTCGGGGGTTTCCCATGTGATTTTTGCGCATCTAATCATTAGGCTGTTCTCTTCCTCAACCTCAAGCTTTATTTTTTTTTCAATTCTGTGGGATCAAGTAGAACTAGTTTGATCACCTTTCCACATGACCTTTCAAATACTAGAATGCTATCATGTCCCCTGTCATGGGTTAGACCTGACTTGGGCTAGCTCCTGGTTGTTCAGGTCTGAAATTAGAATGAAACCAGCCATATGTAATCCATCTAAGAGTTAACACACAAATTATTTAACCATAGCAAGGAAAGGATATCCAGAGTGAGCCATTCAGGAGAGTGATCCAAAAGAAAGATTTAGTTTTTCAGGGCCATTCATGCTACTGGTCTATGGACGTAAATGCCTTGTCTCTTGGCTATTTTGTACTTAGGTGATGAGGAAGCTAAGTCAATGTCTCAGACTTGGTCTCCTGAGCCAATTTAAGCTCTAAGAAGTTTTGAATATTTTTTAAAGAAGAACTAGCCCAACTTACATGAGAGGAGTGAGCAACACATCCTCCCTAATTCTTTTCTGGGTTAAACATCTCTGTTCCTGCACTGATTATTATGTTCTACATATGTGGTCCTTCCTTTTCCTGGTATTCTTCCTCTGGATGCTCACCAGTTTATTCCTAAATGTGTCATCCTAATATGTGTCATCTAGAACCAAACCCAATACTCCAAATGTGTTCTGACCAGGGCACAGTATGGCAGGGCAATCTCCCATGTCTTGGACACTATGTTTCTTAGGGCAGTCCAAACTCACATTAGCAAAAATTAGATCAAATGAGATAACCTGTGTGAAGCATTTAGTATGGGGGTCTGGCACATAGTAGGTGCTTTTAAAATACTTATTGCCTTTCCTTTCACCTCAACATTAGCTGCTTTGACTACTATATCATCCAAGAATTGTTGCTTAAATCAAATCAAATTGAGTTGAAATAATTCTCTGGACTGTCTGGATTTTTGTAAATGAGAATCATGCCTGATCCATTACATCTCAGTGTGTAAGGTTTTCCTCTTTTGATTCAATCACATATGACTTCCTCTGCTGCATAATCATGAATCCAAAAGACATTGAGGTCTACCCTGCACCTTACCCCTAGAGACACTTCAGAAAAGATTTTTTTTCAGAATTATTTGAATGTAGTCCAATGTCAAGGACACTCTGAAATTTGAAATAGTACTGGGTTTGAAGTTAGAAGACCTTTTAACTTCTACCACTTAGTACCTGTGTGATCTTGTGCAAATCACTTTGTCTCTATGGGATTCAGTTTCCTCATTTGTAAAATGAGGGGGTTAGACTAGATGACATCTGAATTCCCTTATGACTCTATATCTATGATAATATGATTACATAAACATAGAATTCTAGATTTCCAGGTAAATCTGGTATTTATTAATGTATTCATTTACTTATCTATTCATTATTTGGGAATTTATGAAGTACAGCAAAGGACAATGATGTGAATGTATTCTAAAAGAGGAGATATGTTGCATACCCTTAAGGACCGTGTCAATGCATCATTCACTTTTGAGATCATCATAAATTTGCTAGACATTTTTCCATTTCTCCCCCACTATGATTTCCAATGTGTTATTAGGTTATAAATGAGACATACTGCTCAGAATAGGAAAAGCTCTTCTATAAGCTGGCTTGCTCACACTATATCTAGAATATTGTGTTCAGAGCTGGACATCACATGTTAAGAAAAACATTGACCAACTGGAATATTTCCAAAGCAGAACAATGACGAGGTGAGGGAAACTGGAGATTAGCTCATACAAGTTTCAATTGAAGGAACTGGGGTATTTAAACTAAAGAAGAGAAGACTTACAGTAGAGAAAGACTGATGTCAGGAAGACCAGGTAGAAGGCAGTAGCCATTGTTCAGGTGTGAAGTTAAGAGATTCCATCTGAAGTGATGACAATGGATTAGCCAGTAAGGAATGGGCACACTATAATGTGTTAGGGAAGCAAAGTTGACAAGTTGTGCCAAAGGGTAAAGGAAAGATAGGATCAATAATGACTTCAAGATTTCTAGTGATGGTGCCCTTGTAACAAAAGGGAAATCATTGAGGAAAAGATTATGAGTTTGCCTGAGACGCCGCAAGGTCATCCAGATTCAGATGTCTTATAGGCAGTTGGAAACATGAGATCAGTGCTCAGAAGAGAGAATAAAGTTTGAGATATGGATATGGGAATCATCTGAATAAAGATTATAGTTAAAGTATTGGGAGTGGATGAGGTCACTGAAAGAAAGATAGCATTTAGAAAAAGAAGAGGGTTGAGTACAGTGCCTTGATGGATTCCCATCTTTAAAAGGCATGGAAAAATAGAGGTAGACAGTGAAGAAAATGGGGTGGGAATATAGCTAGAGATCTGGAAGGAGAAAAAATTTCATAGGAGTAAAGAATTGTCTCTATTTAGGACTGGGACTTCTAAAAGCTTTCAAATCCAATCTCCTCATTTTACAGATGAAGAATACAAGGCACAGAAAGATGAAGTAACTTGTTTGGGATCACATTGTTAATAAGTATATGATGCAGGATTTTAACCAACTTCTTCCTGACTACATGTCCAGTGCTCTGTCTACTATTCCAGTAGTTTCCATTTAGTGGATGGTGGTCTAAGGGGTTTGCACTAAAATTTATTTGATTTCACCTTAAACAGAAAATAACTGCCCAATTATGTTACAAATATATTTTCCCTCTGTCACAACAAGCACATGCATGTTTAAAGTGTTATAGGTTTCTTTCTGAAATGATTCAAACCCATCATGATTTTGTACATAGTGATTTGGGTGTTGGTGCATTAATTACATCACTCTGACCACTTCGGATTAAGTACGATCTGTTCTTGCAGTTTTTCAATCTGTCATCAAATTGTTTCCAAACCATCAAGAGTTCAACATTTGAGTCTAAACTGGTTCCCAAAAGATGGTCAGACAAATATGCATACCGTCATTTGTGTTCTATATACTGTATCAGAGTAACTCCCTTATTCATCTCTGTTACCCTGTAATGTATCCCATCAACTGTGTAATCATGTGATCAAGATGTTCTGAACATTTATTTTCTAGTGGCACAAATGTCAAGCTGCTTGAAAACTATAATCCCTTGACATACACAGGACAAGCTCTCTTAAAATTAGAATGGACCATCACAAATGTTCTATTGCAACAAATCTTATATTGCTTCCCATTGCAGTACTAAGGCTTTTTTTGGTTTGGTTTGGTTTTTTAATTTAAACATCCTCTGCTTAGATTAGTATTCTTCAATCTGGAAGATTTTCAAATAAACTGATTGGCTAAACTGGTCAGTAGAGTTTCTTTGAGAGTGAAGATGATGTATCAGTGCTAGAAGAGAAGAAATTCACATCTGAAGATATTCTTTCCTTGAAAAAATTAGTTTATGTACATACATTTTAAAAAATAAAGTCGTATATGCTCATGAAGTTTAAGTATATTTTTCATTTAATACAACACTCAACACTAGCCAGAAGAAAAGTAAATATCTTATATCATAACTAGCTATTAATTTTCATTGGCTGATTAGGTAGCTAATTTTTAAAATGAATTTCCATCTCTCAGCTTGTAAGATTCTACCAATTTCTATCACATATTTTTGTGAGTGAGCATTTTCATAGCTAGATGGTATAGTGGAGGATCAAATACTTGCTAGCTGTGTGACCTTGGAGAAGTCATTTAACCTCTGTTTGCCTCAGTTTCCTCATCTATGTAATGAAGATAATAATAGAACCTACCTTCCTGTTGTTTTTGTTTGTTTATTTGTTTGTTTTGTTTCATTTTTTAGGCAATTGGAGTTAAGTGCCATGCCCTGAGTCACACAACTTGTAAGTGTTATGTGTCTGAGGCCGCATTCAAACTCAGATCCTACTGACTCCAGGGCCAGTGCTCTATCCGCTGTGCCACCTCGCTGCCCCTCTGATTTGTTATAAAGATCAAATGAGATAATATTTTAAAAGTGGGTAGCATAGTGCCTGATCAAAATACAGAAACAAAACAAATAAAAATCATAAAACAAAACATCCTTCCTGCACTCCAATTATTTAAGCAACATTTCTTCTCATTCCTTTATTTTGCCTTCATTAACAAACTTTCTGGAATGAGTAGTTTATCCTCACTGCTTCTATTTCCTCTACTCTTACTTGCTCATCACCTTACAATATGTCTTCCTCCCTTGCTATTTGACTGGAGCTGTTCTCTCAAAAGGCAATTGCCTCCTCAATCTCTCTATTGTGGTCAACACTATTGACAGCTCCTTCCTTATTACTATTCTCTTCCTTTGGAATCAATGGCATAGTGCAGTGGTTCTCAATGTTTTTTGTTTCTTGCAAACTCTTTTCAACAACAACAAATGTGGAGTAAACCCCTAGGGTACTTTATGTGTTACTCATTATTATTTTAGATTTATTCATTAAGTGTATAATAACTGCAATGATAACTTTTGCCTAAAAACCTCCAAATTAAAATTTGTTATATAATTATAATCATAAAATATAAAATATTTTCTACCTTTAATTATGAAAAGGGTCGTAAATATACCTCCACATAATATTTGATTTTGAAACTAGAGTTGATGCGAGGAGAAGAACAACTTGAAAGAAATGGATTGAAAACACAAGATAGGGTGAGGATGATTGAAGGAACAAAATCCCAGAGGGCACGGGAGTGAATGTTACCTTGAGCACTAGTAGGAAAATTAGCTTTGGCAAGAGAGAAAGATGCTCTTTGTCACAGAAAATAGCATAGGAGGAAAGAAAGTATGTTATAGGGAATTTTTGAGGGGGATGTGAGGGCAACTGGGGGTGCTAATGTCTAATGGCTTCCATTTTATCAGTAAAGCAGGAAGTGTAAAAATTAA